CATCCTTTGGATTATTTATTTGCTTGAGCAATGTGTGTTTCACCTGTTCTAGAATTGCAAGAGTGCTTTGGCCAGGGTCCGTTTGGCCAGAACATTTCAGCTGATGGAATATAAGTTGCTCGATGCTTTTGTCGTTCTGATATTCTCTGGCATGCCCCAAGCGTTGTTGAAGATTTGATGCCGTCATGTGCCATAATTATTGATCTGTCGTTGTCTCGGCTTCGCAGCTGGGCTTGATGATTGAGGAGATGATCCTGCATGGCCTTTGGCAAGGCACGAGAAGCATAACACGAGTGTAGCGCAATGCCTCTTTCAAAGTTTTGGCCAGCCAGTGCTGCTGCAGAGCTTTCCTGCAATTTTTTCGGCTCCAGTTTCGCGCCCGCTTGCCATGATGGACACTACGATGCCAGACAATCTGCGATCAGGGCTTGCAAGGTGGCTGCCACGAATCATTCTTGCGGTGGTGTTCTTTTTCATTGCAGTGGACATTGCCCTGGAAGCGGAAGATGTCCAGCTAGGACAAGTTGCTAGCCAATATGCGACGCAGAATGTTTTCACTGGCAGGTTCCTCCGTTCAAACAGGACATTCATTCCTTTGAACCGTAGCCTGCAAATGGAGATAATGGACGAAGCGTCTATCGATGGATCGAATTGGTGGCAATCCTGCGGCCCCAACATGCACAGCTGTCATGGCCCCTGGTTGCCGGAGGAGAAGAGATACTGCTGCTGTGACCCCGGCTATGCTTTTGATTCTGCTTCGTCTTGCAAGCCCTCGACAACTAGCAGCCCCAGCCCTCAAATGCAGATACCACGTAGAGGTGACAAAGGCCACCTCCTTTTCTGCAGTGTTTTTGACGATGGCACGTATAGCCAGCACATCCAGCACATCCAGCACATCCAGGACAGTTCTCCGACATACAGTGAGGTACAAAGCTTCGATGAAGGATCTTTGCTGCGTTGGGCTTCCAAGATCTTCAAAGCACAAGAAAACCAGCGCTATGCCCAGGAATGGGATGAAGCCTTGACAGCGCTGGAAAGTCATCATGTGGATGGCGCAACCCTACTAAAGCTGACAAGGTCAGAGTTTGATTCTGAATGGAATCTCATGAACATTGGTTTGCCGCAAGGTGCTGCTGAGGTGCTAACTGATCACATCAGAGCTCTCAAGCCGCAGCTGAGACGCCTCTCAAGTGGGGCAAGTGGATGTGACAGTGACACAGGGAGCGGGACAAGTGGATGTGATTCCACGCCATCTGAGAGCGCACGCTCCTCACCGTCTCAAGGCCAAGCCTTGCAAGGCTGTAGTGAGTCTTCCACGGGCACCCGTGGTTGTGAAAGCTCCAGCAGCTCCAGCGGCGCAAAGGGCTGCGCAACTTCCAGATCCACAGGCTCTGGAGCGCAAGGATGCCAAAGCCAAAGCCCAAAAGGTTGTCAGTCAGAGCACGCTGCCAAAGGCTGCCATGCGCATGCTAAGGGCTGTGACTCAGGTGTGCAGGGTTGCCACTCGGGCGTGTGTGGCTGCCAGGAGAAGTCAGGGCTTGGCGACTTCCTGGGGCTGTTGCTGTATTTACCTTTCATCCTTCTTGTTACTATGCAGGCTGTCCTTGCACCTGCACTTTTAGCTTCGGCTTTGCTTCTCCCAGCACTTTTGCTGGTTGTAGCGTTTGTCAAGGGAAGCTTCTTTGTCCTGCTGTTGGCAGGCTTTACTGCAGCTGTTTGGACAGGTGTTGCAGTGTTCTACCAGAGGAGGGAGGAAGGCGCATCGTTGGTCGAAAGCTCTGGGGTGGAGTGATGCCCACAAGCAGCCAGTTCTCTGACTGCAAGTTTTCAGTGCATGTGTACAGAGAGCGAGTTTCGAATTGGCACTCCGGCCGTATGTCGTAGTTGTATACTGTAGACGCAGACGTCGAAGGACTCGAAGGATTGACTATTTGGTGCTTGTATGGGCGACGAGGGTCGTCTAGACTTTTGAACCACACAGCTTGTATAGTACAGACACATCAGACACTTCTGCGTGCAGTGCAGAGCATCGTCGAAAGAATCCCAGAAAATTGCAAGCGGAGATAAGTGGAGGAACAAGTTCATTTCAAGTTTCTGTATGTCTGTATGTGTGGATTGCCCATCATTGCCCACAAGTCGTCATGCTGTGGCTGTCAATGCCCTTGCATACTTACTACATACATACCACATTCGTTGCTGCATTGGGCTTGGCTACTTTTTCTTCCCTTGATTGATAGGCTTTTCTTTGCAGTGTTGCTGCAAGGCAGGCGTATTGGTGCTGCTGTCATTGTCGACTTGCAAGCACGGCACGTAGTTTGTATATAAGAGAAAGAGATTTCATATGATTTCATAGATGACTATGGAATGCCCCACGTTTAGCGTGCTATGCTATGTGATGTTGGAATTACAATAGCATGTTCATTTTTTGTGTGTTTGTTTGCCACCCAGAGGACAAATCAAGAAGTTCTTAGAGCTCATCGTTCTCATAGCGCGCTTACGACTCCTGGATGAAATTTGATGAAATTTGCATGTCCTCACATCAACTCTTTGGCGAGTCTGCACGTATCACACGTTGAAAGAGACCGTGACGTACCGTGACATTGACTCCCGGTGCGAGCAGCTTTGATTCTGGTTCTATTCTCATTCCACATGATGACATCATTCTGTCAAAAATTCAGTTCGAGCGTGGCATCTCGTAATGGCAATATTGCTTTACACTTTACACTTGATGCAGTTCACGCAGTTCACACCTCTTCCAAACAAGTTCAAAATATAGCATGATAATCAAATACAATACAATTATGTATATAATATATATATATATTATTAGACATATATATGCACATGATATCATATATCCCTCGCACTAGCTAAATTAAACCAGGTGGACACTGAGTTAGGTTTATTTTTTTTGGTTTAATTAAAAAATTCTTACGAAACAGGGGGTCCACCCACCTCCTTAAGATCCTGAAGAGAGTTGAGTTGGTTTAATTTTGAGATGTGACCCACCCCATGGTTTAATTTCAGCTGTTTTAGCTCATTGTGCTGCCTCGTGTTCCGCCTCGGGATACTGCAGCCATGGTTCCTGACACGTGTCCTAGCACAGCTCTGTGAAGACGATCCGGCGTGGACAGCAAGGTTCTTGCACAGTTGGGAACAGCATTGCTGCAGCCCAAATGCTCCATCTCAAGCAGGGCAAGTCCATGGGAAAGGCGCTGCGGGACCATGGTAAACTGTTTCTATCTGTTTCGGGCCCCTTGCGTGATCCCAGATCAGGTCAGAATAATTAATCAAGGGGTGGGTGAGTCCATACGTACTGAACATTCATTCATCAGGACACCTTTGGCACCATAATATTCATGGGATTTATGGTCACCAGAATAATTAAACAAGGGGTGGGTGAGTCCACATGTACTGGGCATTCAGGATCAGTTCTTCCATTGGGGCACCCCCAACACCATAATATCATACAATATCCATGGCATTGATGGTCACCAGAATAATTAAACAAGGGGTGGATAAGCCCACATGTTCTTGGCATTCATAAAGATTCATGTATTGGGATACCTTTGGTGTTATCATGATTCATTGTTTTTTCTTGAATTTTCATCTTTGGTCATCACAAAGGAAGGAACCTGATGGAATCTCATTGGACTTGCTACTTTGGAATTATTTTGACACCTGTATCTCACCAATCTCTCTCCACCATGATCAACTTGCACTCCAATGAGATTCCATCAGGTTCCTTCCTTTGTGATGACCAAAGATGAAAATTCAAGAAAAAACAATGAATCATGATAACACCAAAGGTATCCCAACACATGAATCTTTATGAATGCCAAGAACATGTGGACTTATCCACCCCTTGTTTAATTATTCTGGTGACCATCAATGCCATGGATATTGTATGATATTATGGTGTTGGGGGTGCCCCAATGGAAGAACTGATCCTGAATGCCCAGTACATGTGGACTCACCCACCCCTTGTTTAATTATTCTGGTGACCATAAATCCCATGAATATTATGGTGCCAAAGGTGTCCTGATGAATGAATGTTCAGTACGTATGGACTCACCCACCCCTTGATTAATTATTCTGACCTGATCTGGGATCACGCAAGGGGCCCGAAACAGATAGAAACAGTTTACCATGGTCCCGCAGCGCCTTTCCCATGGACTTGCTCTGCTTGAGATGGAGCATTTGGGCTGCAGCAATGCTGTTCCCAACTGTGCAAGAACCTTGCTGTCCACGCCGGATCGTCTTCACGGAGCTGTGCTAGGACACGTGTCAGGAACCATGGCTGCAGTATCCCGAGGCGGAACACGAGGCAGCACAATGAGCTAAAACAGCTGAAATTAAACCATGGGGTTTATGTTTGAGAAAGTTGAGTTGGTCCACGCACCTGGCGGGAAAAATGGTGGGCGCAACTGTTTTTACGCCAAGTCTCACTGACATGTGTAGAACCAGGTGGTTTAATATTTGGTCTTGGCAAAACAAAATCAACCCAATGATCCTGTAAAATTAAACCAGGTACTGCCGAGTAGCTTGTTTAATTTTTTGCTGGGGGATGTTGGGTGGGACCTGAACTGGATTGTGCTGGATTAATTTCTTATGTTAAAAATAAACGGAGGGTATGTTTGACTGAAGAATTTTGGAAAAAAAACATACTGCAGGGGACCCCATTTAATTAAAACAAATAAACCAGGGGTCCCACCCCCCCACCAAGTACCGATAGGGATATGATATCATACTGTCGGGTAAATGACTCGGTTTTTTGGACTCCTTGCTGCTCCCTTTATGATTTGCTAGCTGAGGTGTCATTTTATGCCTTGCTCGCTCGAGTGAGATCTTCGGTTTTTTGTTCCTTGCAGCCTAGAAATCAGTACAAAAAGCTGCCGCAGTTAACATAGAATAGAGGTGATCGTTTCGTTGTGCCGTTGCGAGCTGTTCTCGCTCGTGGAAGTTTGATGTCTTGAAACTGACGTGGTTTGGAAGAATTGCGCTCTCCAGGTTCTTTCCCTTTGTGGTGATCGCACAGAATCCTGGCCAGAAATGCAACAAAAAATGCGCGCTTTAGTGCCCTCAGATGAATCCAGATGTACATTTCGAAATTTTGACCCTGTATAGATGATTATAGATGTATGTATATAGTAAATTCTTTCAAGAATTGCGCCCAGCTCAAAAGCATCTTGCCGTTGCAGTGCACAGCTTGTTGCAAGGCCTCCAAATGGGTTCTAAACCTTTGACAAATCTGTCTGGGCGCCGCCCTCGAGGAAAGTCCTTGGCTGGAACGAAGGCAGTTGGCTTCTGGGTTGCTCTTGCGATGTTTCTTCTCGACCCAGCTTGCTCTCTTACTGCAGCCTGGCAGAGATCCTTTGTGCTGCATTTCCCTTCACTCTCAACACCCCCTGGCATTTGATCTAGCTAGCCATCACTAGCTCACTGCTGTTTTGTAACCTCTCAAGCAAACAAGTCTCCAAGACCAATCTTCCTTTGTTTATGTAGCACTCCCTCATATGCACAAGAGCATTTTGAAGCCTTTCTGGACTTTGTAGTTTGTGTTGTCACTCTTCCACTCCGCAAATCCTGGATATCCTAGTGATTCTTGCTCTGTCTAAGTCCCGGTTCGAGCAGCGGAAGGCTTCTCGGATGCAGATTGCTGTGCTGCTTTTGAAATGTCTTTCGAATCATATCGCCTCATCGGAGCCAAGGTCATCCCATAGTTTAGCCATGTTTAGCCTGAAATATGAATGACACAAAGGATCACAAAGGAATGCAAAGGATAACAAGATATAACAAGGGTACTGAATGATGCAGAGCGCATCAGAGTGCTATGAGTTTGGGGGGTGTGGTGTTCAGACTGCGCCAAGGACTCCTCGCTTGCTTGAAGGTGGCTGGGACTCGTGATTGCTTTCAGATTTCGCTATGTAGACTCATCAAAATCCATCAGGCATCATGACCTTTTTTATAAATTGTTCGCAAGGATGTGTAATATTTTGTAATATGTTGATGGCTTGTGCAAGGCAATCAAGCATTTGCAGACACTCCCCGGGCTCGCCATGCTTGAAGTTGTAGCGACTTGTCAAGATCAGAACCACACAAGTGACATAGGGTGACATTGTTTGCTTTGGGTTGCAGACAAATTATCACCGCTGTGCGGTTGTTGTGTGATGAAGGGCAACTTCAGCGTTGCTCCTATTTGCTACTTGTATCATATTGGTGAATGGACCGGGGATGCTTTGCGTGTGGGGCTTCTGTGCAGAGTTCTTTGCGGCAATTGTGCCAGGTTTGTTGCAAGTTTTTGCGTGTGGATCTATGCTTCCCTCAGGTCGACCCTTTCATCCATGAGACTTGGCACGGAGTTTGATATATCCTGCTGTTTCAGCTCTTGAACCATCGGCGTTGATTTGAACGTTTCAACATGCTTCAGCTCATACTCATGATTCTCAAGAGATTCAAGAGTCCACTTCCTATACAACGCCTGTACCTCGCGTCGTGTCTTTTTTTGGGTATGGGGTGGACGGTGCGTATTTTGGATATATGTCAAAACATGATAATAGATACATAGATATATAGATACATAGATACATAGATACATAGTTAGATACATAGTTAGATACAAGATAGATAGATAGATAGATAGATACATCGATAGATAGATAGATACATCGATAGATGCATAGATCGATACATGGAGAGATAGATAGGTAGATAGATAGATAGATAGATAGAGATATATATATATAGATATAGATATAGATAGATATAGATATAGATAGATATAGATATAGATAGATATAGATGGATATAGATAGATATATAGATAGATATATAGATAGATAGATAGGTAGATAGATAGATAGATACATCCATCCATCCATCCATCCATCCATCCATGCATGCATATTCATATATACATATATTCATATTTACATATATACATATATACATATATACATATATATATACTACATTGTGTGTGTTTGCGCGTATACACATGTATACAGGCTCAATTGTATAACTATCTCAGAAATCCCAGGCTCTGTTTTGCCTGTGCTCGAGCCAAAGATGCCTACACGAGCTCCCCCTTTGCCGCTGTGGCACAAAGAGGTTCAAAACTCAAGCCAAATCCTTTGTAGGCTCAAGGCATCCTAAAATCTCTGGTCCTTATGGTCCTGGTAGAGCTTTGACAGGACCTTGGAACTAAGCCCTGTACCCTTATGGGCATGTTGAAACTCATTGCAGGGGTTTTCTGGCCTCTTTAGGTTGTGTCCTGGATCTACCTACCCCGGCCACAATGCCAGGATCGCCTGCTGCAGAGCCCGACTGTGAACTCATACCCGGGGAAGTACCGCCATCCACGCCATGTGAGCCCGACTGTGGCCTCGCACTTGAAAAAGCAGTGCTCCCACCACTACCACCACCACCACCACCACCACCACGCGAGCCCGAACGCGGCACAGCCTTCAAAAACATTTAGCGCCAGCTAAGCCCGACTGTCGCCTGGTACCAGATGATGTAGCTTCGACACCAACACCAAGCGAGCCCGACTGCGGCTGCAAAATCATGGATGAAGTTGCACCATTACGGCCCATCATAGACCCAGCGTCATTTGATGATGAACGACTTGCACCACGGGTTCGTCGCCTCAAAGACGCCGATGCTTCATCCTCTGACGCCACCAACACTTCTTCATCATCAGAAGATTCAATATGTCATTCCTCCTCGGCTCCAGTCTAAAACTTCCGCCTTCCTCTGACACTCGCAATCGTCTCAGACAAAATTTCGATGCACTATGAAGCAGCTGTCCAGTGTAGATTTCGCCCATGGCCAAGCATGGCTCCAGTCACCCAGATCAAGGTGAAATCCTCATCAGTCTCTGACTCCTCATTGTTCGCTTCCTCTGAAGAAAGCAACAGCCCACCAAGAACCAGGGCTCTCATCGCCGCGCCATTGTTTTCGGCACCAGTCGTTGAAGATCGGCTTTCGGACGCAGGTTGAGTTTCACGGCTCGTCCTTTGTAGGCCAAGATCGTCCACAAACTGGGCAACAGCTTGTCATTGAAGAGGTTTCGTACATCCATTGGCCACCATTTCGGTGCCCTTCAGATGTAGTAGTTTCCAGCGGCCTCCAGGGTTGATGTTGGAATCGCTCAGAGCTTCTTTCAAGACACAGGCTCTGATCCTGAGATGTCTCGTACGCCAGGAAGATGTAGTGACACCATGAGCAAGGCCAATCGCTGCAGCATTATCCCCATAGATTGCTCGATCAAAGGTGTTGCTGTTGATGCCCTTCCCCCAGATAGCACATAGCAAAGCTTCCGTGGCTTTCCCAACAGCCAATGATTCGCAGTAGGCAGTGAGCTCCGCCTCTGCTGTTGAATGTGCCACGCCCCACATTGCCAAGCGATAGGCACCCCAGCGTAGCACACCACAAGTCCTTGGATACTCCGATGGTCAGCATTGGCGCCGTAGGATGCGTCGGAGAATACTTCCAACATCTTCTGGTGTCGTCGCGCCTTCAGTTGACCTCGATGAGCCCAGTCTCTGCCAGGAACCGCCCGGGAAAAATGCATTCCCCCTGGATTGCCATGAAGGATCATGAAGGTACTTGAGCAGAATGTACCCAATCTCCACCGCCTTGACTGGGTTTTTCATTGTCAATCTGCTCATAGCCGAGAGCTTCTTCATCAGACTCTGTGACCTTGAAGGCAGGGTATGGCAAGGATTATAGTTGATGTTCCAACGCGTCATCAGCACCTGCTCAAACATCCGCTGCGACACATGAAATCCATCCCCGCCACTATCAGCTGAAATCTCAAAGCCACAGTACCGCAGAGGCTTGTCAGATGCCCAATTCCTCAGATATCGCCCACTTTTCTTTGATCGCTTCAATGGGCAACTTCACCGTCTCCTGCTCCGCCGCGATCAAACAAGTTGATGGTGAGGTTCCAACCTGGGGGAGCGGGAAGAAACAAATACTCCTGCAGCAACTCACCACAACGCCAAAGGTCTCAACGATCCAGGAGGTTGCATCTGCAATGCGCACTTTGGCGCAGACACCATGGTCGGGCTCAGGAAGTCCAAGCAGTTCTTCCCGACAGAGTACTTTTGCTGAAGGCGTTGGATGAGCCGGTGCAGAAGATTGCCTCCGTGGATCCACAAGCAGCTGTCAGATTGGCCCGAAGCCACATGCAGTTGCAAGTGGATGAGCGGCCGGACCACAACAGCCTATGGTTTTTCAGCCGGTGTCTTCTAGCTGAAGCTGCAGCGTTGCCCCTGCTTAAAACTACACCATTGAAGACGCCTACGCAGTCACCACTGAAGTTGAAGCAAATGCAAGGTGATCAGAAGACATCTTCCAGTACCACTTCACCTGAGACCAAGGCCAAAACTGGGAGCCGCAGTGGACAAGCCCTGCATGTACTTCATTTCTGTGGATACATTCCCAGGAGGGGGTGGAGGACAAGGCGGCTCGATGTTGGAATTGTGGCGGCCGAAACCATCGCAAACAAGACTGCAAGGTGAAGAACACCACAGGCAAGAAGCAAGGTGAGCCCACTACGTCACTACGGGCTCAGGGGGAGGACGTGGAAATGGAGGCTCAACTGGGTCACCTGCGTCAAGAACATCGACTGGTATGGGTGGAAAAGCTGAGTGGTAAAATCAACCTCGGAGACAGGTGTGGCTGTGGCACCAGACAAGCTCCACCACCAATGCTGACAAAGAAGGAGGCCGTGGTGGGGGGAGTGACAATGGCTTCAAAGGAGGAAAAACTGTAGAACTCTTACATGAAGCCACGCAGCTCTTGAAGACCCTTCGAGTCCCTGCAGCTCCAACAGTGAAGGTGATGCAGATCGGTGGATTGGACCATGCAGATGCCAACATGGTGCTCATTGACTTCTTGGCGCCACTCATGGACTTCGACCTGCCAGAGATCCTGAGGAATGGGAGCAAGGGGTGAGGACTACTGTCCAATTGGCCAATGGTTCCACCGAAGCCTTCAAGCTGAAGAGAGCGAAGATTCTTCTTGGGGATCCTGATGATGCAGCTGCTTGGATTGTATCAATGGGTGGACTCACCGACTTGGGCTTCACCCTGGCAGTGGTCAGGCAATCAATGTCAACTACGAGATGATGAAGGTCGACAGCTTGAAGTGCGTGTCCTTCAAGGTTGTCCCATGGTGTCGCTGGCAGATGGCCAACGGATTTTGGAGTGGCTGGAACATTATCAAGCGCATCAGCAATGGAAGTTGGCGATGGTGAGATCCCTGCTTTAATTGATGAAGCACAAGTGGACAGGAGTCGGATGGATACGGAGCTTGCCTTGACGTACAAATTGCGTCAACTATTTCCACATCTTCCTGATGAAGTGATGATGCGTGTGGTGCCGCTCCATGTTGCCATCCGACATGAAGGATTGAGGAAAAGGAGGTACAACAGGTCTGTCAGGCTGATGCTGAGGCACATGACATGGTTCTGCATGAGAAGTTCCACTATGTTCCACTACTTGGGGGCGTTCCATCAGGGATCCTAGTTCCATTTGGACGGAACCGGACTTCCCGCTACCCCGAGCAGCACTTCTGGGCGTGTGATACCCCCGATGTCTCCGTCCTCCATCTTCAACTTCAGGTGGAATCCCCCGCTCTGGCAGACCCTCCAACTTCGGACCATGACGCGTTGGATCCCCAGACTGTGACATCATAGCCTTCAGTTTCTCTACCTCTACCAATTGCGAAGTTTGAACTCGTAGATGATTGACTACTTCAGCTTCTAATGCTTTCTGCAAACCAAACCATCTACAGAAGGTTCTGAAACACCATCTATGGTCACATCCATAGACACCCTTCCCGTAGATTTGCGACTTTCATCCCCATCATCAGGCATCCTACCTTCTGATTGTTTCACTTTTGCACGGTATCCAGCCGCATCATCACCGTCATCCATACTTTTGCTGGGTGGAGTAACAAGGCATGCCAACTTCACAGAGGGCTGATTACCACGGCCCTTCGCAGTGCACACACCAGTGCCCAGCTCGACCCCATCACGGACTGGCAACGCCTCTGCCCCAGGAGATTGTTCCAGCATCTGGACCTCCTTCTGATTTCGCTCTGACCAGAAAGGATTGATCCCAGCAGAACCATGAAAGCGTGGAGGTTCCGATGAAGCCTTATCCACCATTGCAACAAGTCAACGCAGGGACTAGGGGCTTGGGCTCACAACCCTCAGAAATCCCAGGCTCTGTTTTGCTTGTGCTCGATCAAAAGATGCCTACAAGCGGTCAAATGTTCCACGCTACACGAAACTATTATGTATGCCTTTGTCTCTGTGTGGGCAGGTGAGGAAAGGTGAGGCAAGGTAAGGCAAGGCAAGGCAAGTCTCGGCAAGGTAAGGTAGGGTAGGTTGAGACACGCTTGCGCGCGCAGTGTCTTAAAGGACATCGACATCAAAGAGTTGCCCTGGCGCTTCTGATATGTATTTTGGCAAGTCACTCTTGAACTGAGCATACCCTTAATAACTCGGACACAATCGTCCAATTCCTTTCCTCAGGCGGTGATTTGGATTCAGCCTGCTGTGGTCTTTCTCAGCGACCTGATGTTTTCAGCTGCTGGCATTGCAGAATAAGTCACGTCAGCCACGTCAGCTAGTACATGTGGTCGTGGGGGCCATCCTCGGATGGCGTTGAGGTTGGCTTTGCAGAAGGACTTGCCATGATTGTCAGAAGTGTGGACAAAAGTGCGCATCACAAGCGACTTGGAGATAAAAGTCAGATTGCAATTTGAAGGCTGTCAGATAGTTTTATTGTTATGGACGGCAGAGGTTACAGTACTCGGTCGACACAAGTAATCATCAATGATTTTGTCCATTTCACTGTGGCCAGCAAGGTTGGTATGGATGTCCATGAACGTCGGCCGAATGCTCCGAGAGGGTCCTGCAGTCAATCCCATGGAGCTTGGCGACCAGAGGGCTGAACAATCAGTGTCAGCTCAGGCGCTTTCTTGAGATTGTTTTATCATGGTTAATCACATGGGGCACCATATGGGGCCCCATATGTTCCCATTTTTTAGGGGTGGGAAGTGCACCAGGTAGCAGATAGCCCGCAGCCCCTTCCAGAATGGCGAGAGGATGGTTCCTTCTTTGCATTCAAAAACTGGACTAAAGTCTCTTATTTCAGTGACTGTTATGAGAGCTTGAGAACTTTTAACTTGTTTCCCTCCTGGCGGGACATGTATATATATAATTCGTCGTGAGGTGATGCCGTGCCTTGCTAAACAAGATTGTTGTTTTTTCAAACTACTCGAATTGCGTGGTATGAGTGGGCATAATTCTGCACATTGCCTAGTGACGACATCTCGGAACTCTATGACCGTTTCAACACCTCTGAACCCTCAGCTAATTCTGCTTGTAACTTGGCCACCCAAGGCACTTGGAATTTGTTCGATGGAGGTGACTAGCTTGCTCTGATTGCGCTGCATTCACCTCAGAACAGCTGAAAAAAATCTAAGAATCTAAGCATCTAAGCTCCATTCAACCATGCACATACCATTCATGAAGTTGCGCCCATGCGTTGCCGTGGTGCTTCTCCTCTGTAATTGCGCTTGGCAAGCGAGTACAATCGGTCTTTGCCTTGTTTGCATTGGGATCGTGCACAACAAGCCATCAGAAGCTACATACCCCTGTCCTATTTACAGGCATTGGCTCGGGAATAGATCATGATCATTTCTGGAAACAGGGGCTTGCATGTGCTTTCTGGTTTTGCCTCCAACAGGGTTCTTGTAGAACAGCACACATAGGCACACCAGCGGTGAGCAAGCGCATACCTACCTAAGCAACAAAGTGCCAATTTGACAACCAAATTGGAGGCTGAGGCTGCCCATGCCAAGGAAAACCACTGCTAGATGTCTAGATTTGGCTTCTTGTCCCTGATCCTTAGCAGCCATATTTAATTTGTCCATGGTGCAGATCTTCCAGGCAGACACTGTTTGTAAGTAAGTCTTCACATGCTTCTGCGATCCTACCAGCTTTTAGGTCTTCCAAATTCGATTCATTTTCCCTCGACTCGAAGCGCCATGGAACCAAGTGGCGCTTGGCAACCTCAGAGGTTATGTTCCTCTCCAGCTCGATCCAAAACTGGCCTTGAGAGCTTGAGAACATTTAGCCAATTTAGTCTGCCGAGACAGAGCAATCAACCTTTCACTGGTTGTTGGACATCTTGGGCGGCAGTTTTCGCAGTGATTTGGCTCGTTTATTTTCTTTGGTATGTGTGAAATAGAATCAGAACGGCCCCTCATGGGAGAGTGCTTTTTGCTCTAAAAATGGTCAAAAATACTGGTATTTACAGTGTTTTGTGACCAAAGTGGGCTTAAAACCGTTATTTTAGAGCAAAAAATAGAGTTCACCTCCAAAGGCTCTCGTATGCTGTCATAAATCACTGGCATTTACAGACTCTTGTGGCAGGATTCAATTTTTCCTGTGAGGCTTGCAAAGAACTACAAACAATCAGCACATAACAGAAAACATCTGCTGCACAACATGCCATAAGAATGGGTAGCTGCACATCTTGGAACAGAATATACAGTAGCAATAGGTGACTAGTGTGATGGAGGTGATGGAGAAATTCTATTGCTAGAAGCAATTGATATGATATAGCTGGTTCTTCATGAACTTGTTAGATTGATATCATCTTAACATAGAGGCATTTGCACTACATAAGAAGTATGGTGGGAAGGGCATACATTATATAGGTGGATATACACAAGCACATCTAACATCAGTTCAAAAAAAGCCAAGATCCAAACATACACAATCTAGAATCACCAAAACCTGCACAGGCACCAAAAAAAACAAACAAACCACTAGATGCACCAAACCTGCACAGGCACCAAAAAAAACAAAAGAACCAAACCACTAGATGCACCAAACCTGCACAGGCACCAAAAAAAAAACAAAACTAAAATTTCCAGGAACTATGGGTCCACTTCTGAGTAGTTGCTGGATTTTTTTTTGTTTTTTTGGTGCCTGCCGATGTTTGGTGCATCTAGTGGTTTGTTTTTTTGTTTTTTTTGGTGCCTGTCAATGTTTTGTGAAGTCAGCCTGCACAGGTGCCTGTCAATGTTTTGTGAAGTCAGAGTCACCAAACCTGCACAGGCACCCAAAAAAAACAAACCACTAGATGCACCAAACCTGCACAGGCACCAAAAAAAAACAAAAAAACTAAAATTTCCAGGAACTATCGGGCCACTTCTGAGTAGTTGCTGTGTTTTTTTGTTTTTTTTGGTGCCTGTCGATGTTTGGTGCATCTAGTGGTTTGTTTTTTTTGGTGCATGTCAATGTTTTGTGAAGTCAGAGCCACCAAACCTGCACAGGCACCCAAAAAAAACAAACAAACCACTAGATGCACCAAAACCTGCACAGGCGCCAAAAAAAACTAAAATTTCCAGGAACTATGGGTCCACTTCTGAGTAGTTGCTGGAATGTTTTGTTTTCTTAGTTTTTTTGGTGCCTGTCGATGTTTGGTGCATCTAGTGGTTTGTTTTTTTTGTTTTTTGTTGGTGCCTGTCAATGTTTTGTGAAGTCAGAGTCACCAAACCTGCACAGGCACCAAAAAAAAACAAAAAACAAACCACTAGATGCACCAAACCTGCACAGGCACCCAAAAAACTAAAATTTCCAGGAACTATGGGTCCACATCTGAGTAGTTGCTGGGTTTTTTGTTTTTTTTGTTTTTTTTTGGTGCCTGTCGATGTTTGGTGCATCTAGCGGTTTGATTTTTTTTGTTTTTTTGGTGCCTGTCAATGTTTTGTGAAGTCATAGTCACCAAACCTGCACAGGCACCAAAAAACCCAAAAGAACCAAACCACTAGATGCACCAAACCTGCACAGGCACAAAAAAAAAACAAAAAAACTAAAATTTCCGGGGACTATGGGTCCACTTCTGAGTAGTTGCTGGAATTTTTGTTTTTTGTTGGTGCCTGTCGATGTTTGGTGCATCTAGTGGTTTGTTTTTCTTGTTTTTTTGGTGCCTGTCAGTGTTTTTGTATATCTCATGTCAAGATCATGATGAAAAAAGTGCGTTTACTAGGGTTTTAGACCCTCCAAATGCATAAAACATCGGTATTTACAGTGTTTTATCATCATTTTTAATGAAAATTCACTCCCCCACGGGGCGCTGCCCTCAATAGAATTGGGTTTGGGGCTTGGGCTACAGGGAAATGCTTTAAACGCCGCTTTGACCGTGCTGTGACTCAGAAGAGTACTCAGAAGCTGGCAAGCACTTCGGGCGTTCAAGCCTAGTTTGCGCTCAAGCTTCAGGCAGTTTCATTCAAGATACGCTGATTCTTGGTGAGGCAACTTGGTTCCAGATCTACAGAGAAAGACGGCGAGGCCGCCAACACGGAGGAGTTTGCTGTTTTGGTACTCGCCCTCAAAATCTCTATGAACTACTGAGATTGTCTCCTATGGACGTGGCATTTGCAACAAAAGAGAGCTTGAAGCAACGGCAGCTTGCCAGAGTTCCACCAGTAATTGGATGATTTTTCTTCGGACCAATTCTGTGTTCAATTCTGCCTGCACAAAAATTTTCTGGTGAGTGGGTGTTATAGCTGAAGTCCCTCTTGCTTTAGCAAGGGGGGGCTGGAATCTCCAATCGCATGAACCTTCATAGTTAACTACTCCCCCTCCCCCGGCTGGGTGGTTCACAAGCAGTTTGGCCGTGGCTCAATCCCCCCCGGCACACCGTCGGCCTGTCGCCACCGGTAGCAAATTCGGCAGCATCCACACCGCATCATTGTGTTTTCATGCCAAGCATGCCAAGCTCCCTGCCAAGCTAGCTTTCGTCCCTTATCCCTGGGCCTCAAGCCATTTTTTGGCGAAAGTATCTTGAAAGTTCCGCTGGGGCTAAGGCAGTCCCAGAAGTGAAGGTGTTTTCATAATCCTGTACCACAAAGCATGGTCCCTTCAGGCCGCACTGACCTCCGAGAAAATCAGGACACCCAAAACCATTTTCAACCGGGAGTTGCATCGCTTCCTTTCCACAAGGGATCGCCAAACAGAAGTGTTGCCATTGCAGAGTCATTGTGTCCTAGGAGCAAGAAAGTGGATTGTTGCAACCCTGCTACAGAATGCTGAAGATAGATATGGCTAAAGTCTTTGTTTTTGGCAAAGAAGGGTTGTTTCTGTTTCAGCACGAAAGAATTTAGATCCAAATTCAGTGTCGAGTTGCGCTCTGTACGGATGCATGCAATGACCATGAGCGTAAACATCAACAAGAATCAATGAACATCATACCATGGTTCACTATACCACACATTCGCGTTTTAGCCACTGTGCCAGGGCTTGGACGGTTTTAAGATGTTCTGAATTTTAAGATTCTTGTCGTCCCTTCTGCAGTAGGTTCGATGTAGATTGCGGACTATGTGGATAAAAATAGGGGCTTCAGTGGCAACTCTTGACCGGCTCTAAGGCAGCGTGCAATACTTCGAGTGTGCCATCCAGACATCGCTGGTGCTTTGGCATGCAGGAAGTGAATCGTTGAAACTGACAACATTTGCCCGGAGAAACAAGTATCGAGTTTCATTCGAGTTTCCTGGTGTCGTTGCGGAATGGGGAAACTGCAGAAACTACCAGATGCATCAGGCAGATTCTGGCAGCTACCAGCCGTTTGCTTCAGGTGATGGAGGAGCCGCACTTACTTCTGTGCTGACAGAGGCGATTGACTTGCTCAGTACTTCAGGGGGTCGCATCCAGCATGAACTTAGCGAACTGCTTGGGATCCCAGACGAACAAGTTGGAAAATGATGGAAAAACTTCCTCTCACTTGCTCCATTGCTTTATCCACCATTCTTGGGGCTGATATGCAGCACACATCACAGATGATGTTTTTAATTTTGTCTCTCCAGGCCCAGTGCCCCCATAGTCCTTTCATGTCCTGTTTGTTTCCTGCTCCTTTGTGCAGAGACCCTGTTTACTGCCTTGGCAGCAGTTCCTTTTTTTGACTCTTCCGCCATGTTCACCAGTTCCGCTGCCTGCTTCGTTTGCTTCATTGCTTTGCTCCCACTTTGCATCTTCAGGTATCAAGTATGAAGCCATGCTGCAGGGCGACTCGCTACTCAATCCTTCTGGACCGGTGGAAGTCATGTGGCCCGCCTTAGGCAAAATCGAATTTTCGAAGGATGCATGGAAGGATGTGTTGGAGGAGGAGAGAGGTGAGCATCATGCAGCTGAAGACTACCTATTTGTAGATGAGGTCGCATGCATAAATTGCATGATATGTACGGAGGCTGCTCCGAACACTTTCAAGATCATTGACTACCCCGGTGGACCTGACAATTGTGGGAATGGATGGGCAGCCCGAGTTCATACCCAATGGGGCGATGGGGAAGAGCTCTTGTGGGAAGCTACTGAATACTGCCCACGTGGTTGTATTTATTGGGTGCCACGCGCTGCAGTTCGAACTCTGGAGTATGTTGCCCAAGCAGACGACAGCTGGCCCTCTATTCGTCC